AATGCAAACAATTAATAAAATTCTACAAAAATCCTACAAAATGGTAAATAATTGGAAAAAATCTATTTTTCTTGAATTTTATAGGAGTAATTCATATAGGGCAAAAATCACGTGCTCACAGTCGAATCCAGAGGGGGGCAAGGGTCTAACTCTGTTTATTTTTGCAGAAATGAGGCACGAGGTCCCCAGGTTTGGCATGGTTCGGAATATCCCACCTTTGCTGCCGGATTGGTGGAAAAATCTCTCACCAAGTGACAAAGCATGGAGAAGGTCCTTCTGGGACCAAATAGATTGGAAATAATGTTTTATTTCTTTCTTGAGTCGTTTTATAATTTGAATGTAATAAGGCAGATGCCATTAGTAACTCATTTATTTATTGTCGTTTTTAGGTTCGTCTTATTTATTACATTGATGAAATGAGGCATTTATCGGCATTAAATCTCTCCAAATCTACTTGTCGCTAGGCCTACCTCGGGCACAATGAGGTTCCCCAAATTAGGACGCGAATTTACAGTCCTGCAATACGTGTTTAAATACTGCAAATACTTTTCAGAATCCTTACTAACTTGTTTACCTTTTTGTTTTCTTCTTTTCTTGGTTTGTTTATTCCCATCCCCTAACTGTTGGTTCGTGCATATTGGCATCATCAGCATACCATACCAGATCAAGAGGTCGTCCATCTCCTCCTCCTCCGAATGATCCTAAAAGCAAAGGAAAAGCCGGAATGGATGATACAAGCGATGACATGGATTGCAGTGCAATAGTTGAGGAGGAGGAGGAAGAAGACCTCACCATTAAGACCATGGAAAAGGGACCTGTTCTCAGGAACTGGACCGCCACACCATCCAGGGCCAGACGAGTCCCGGGGTAGCATGGCTACTAATGTTATTTGAAAAACAAGTCTTTTGAGCATTCAGTTATTAAAATATCTTCCTTTCAGTATTTTGTTTTGAAAAACATCGTTTCGAAGTCATTCAGACAATATTTTGTTTAACGTTTCAGTATTTATCAAATAATTTTATATTTTGTTATCGTTATCTTTCATATCTTTCTTCTACAGCATTACTATTTCTTACCTTGATGAACCAACGACTATGACATGTAATGAGACAACGCAACATAAGGATAATGACTCGGAAGAAGAGGATGAGAGATACATGAGGAAGTTATCAGAGAAGTTGAGAATTTTGAGAACAAACCTAAGTCCAACCTGGACGAAACCGAGGTAGTCAATTTGGGAGATTCTGAAACCATCAATGAGACTCGCATAAGTATTCACCTATCACCATCAGAAAAGAAAGAATACACTCGTTTCCTGAAAGAATATGAGGATATTTTTGCATGGTCATATAATGACATGACCGGCCTGAGCACATCCATAGTGGCTCATAAGTTGCCTACCAATCCAATGTGTCTGCCGGTGAAGCAGAAACTCAGAAAGTTCAAACCAGACATGAGCCTAAAAATCAAGGAAGAAGTCACTAAGCAGATCAAAGCCAAAGTCCTCAGGGTAGTTGAGTATCCAACCTGGTTAGCCAACATCATACCGGTTCCGATGAAAGATAGGAAAGTCAGGGTGTGTGTTGACTATTGGTAATTAAATAGAGCAAGTCTCAACGATGATTTCCCACTGCCAAATATACACATTCTGATCGACAATTGCACCAAGCATGAACTCCAATCCTTTGTAGATTGCTTCGCGGGTTATCATCAGATTTGGATGGATGAAGAAGACGCAAAGAAAATAGTTTTCATTACACCATGGGGGCTGTACTGCTACAAAATGATGCCATTCGGTCTGAAGAATACTAGGGCAACTCTCTATTTGCTGGTTTATGGTACCAAAGTTGTCATTCCCGCCGAGGTAGAAATTCCTTCCTTAAGGATCATACAAGAAGCTGAACTCAGTGATGCAGAATGGATAAAGAGCCGCTATGATAAATTAGCCCTTATAGATGGAAAAAGGATGAATGCAGTGTGTCACGGTCAGCTTTATCAGAACAGAATGTCTAGAGCTTTCAACAAAAGGGTCAGACCAAGACAATTCACACCGGGGCAGCTGGTGCTAAAGCGAATCTTCCCACATCAAGATGAAGCCAAAGGAAAGTTTTCACCCAATTGGCAAGGTCCATACATGGTTCACAGGGTACTAACAGGAGGAGCACTCATACTTGCAGAAATGGACGGAGAAGTTCGGCCAAAACCTATCAATTCAGATGCAGTCAAGAGATACTATGTTTAGATTGTTTACATTTCTTCATCTGATGTAACTGAACTACGCTTGACCTGATTCCCATTTAAGAGGGGATACGTAGGCAGCCCTGTGGGTTCGGTCACATCTTAATGAAATCTTCATTCTCCCAGAACCAGAAACTGGGGCAGAATTTTGAGGAGGACCCTCAAAATTCCGGAGCAAGTCCAGCCGACATCATCATGTGTAAGACAGTCAGAAAATCGGTACAGTAACTGGGGAAGAATTTTGAGAAGGATTCGCAAAATTCCAGAATAGATCTAACAATTTTTGCTACATGCAGACCGGCCGAAGGATCATTTAACTAAACTGGGGCATAATTTTGAGGAGGATCCTCAAAATTCTAACGCAAAGAAGCCGCAATATCTCTAAAAGTGTCGCAGACATTAGTTCATCTAATTTACTTGATATTAACGAATATATGTTATAGGAAAAAGAAACCTTTCGTCCTCTCGGCGTACGTTAGATGTGATAACTTGCGTCACTCGGCGAAAATGGGAGGAAGAGGGAGGCTTAGGAAAAATCAAAGCAAAACACCAGTCATTGAGCGAGGAATCAAGGAAATTATCACTAGGGAACAAGGAAACAACATGCTAAAAGAAAAATGCAGGGGGAAGAGTTGGATCTGGAGAGTGACAGTGAGCTGAATTGGCCGGATCTGAGCTGCAATCGAGTAAAATCAATTGGTCCAGTGAGTCCAGTCAACCAAGGGATACCTAAAATGAACATATCGCCGGTCGTAATTGGTGGATCAAGCACGAGCAAAGTAATTCCAAATGTAACAGTAACTACGAGTTCTTCAAAGGAACAGAGTAATGGAACAGTACCAGTAGGGATTGAGGAAGAGAAGCACAAACAAGCAACGAAACCAATCAGTATTGGAAGGTCATGGGCAGGATTACTTCAAGATAACAAACTCGCTGCAAAAGGGATGGATCTAACATATATACCACCAGTGATACAAGAGGGAGAAGTAGTACTGCAAATTCTGGAAGAAGACATAGTTAAGGAAAACCAGAAATGGAATCGAGCAATAATTTTGTATGTAGTTGGTAATACTCCAACTATTGGAACTATTGAACAATTTGTTGCTGGTCAGTGGGGAAAAATAGGAAGCCAAAGGTATTATTACACAACGATGGCTACTTTATAATTTTGATGCATAGCTATGAAGAAAGGGACGAGGTGTTGATGAATGGGCCATATACTATGAATAGCAGACCAGTAATACTAAAGCCATGGACTGAGGGATTTGATTTTAGTGAAGAGGTGCTGAAAACTATTCCTCTTTGGGTTCTTCCACTGAATTATTGGAGTAACTTAGCTCTTAGCGAAATTGGGAGCGGACTAGGGAAACCTCTTTATGCTGATGCATGTACAACTGTGGCTGATAGGATCTCATATGCTCGGGTACTAATTGAAATGGACATAACAAGGACTCTACCAGGGTCAATTAAACTGGTTGATCCCAAAGGAAAAGTGATAGAGCAAGTGGTACAATATGACTGAAAGCCTCAATACTATCAAACATGTTGTCAAATTGGTCACTCATGTCATAACCAGCAAATGCAGAAACAAGAGGGGGGACAACAAAAGTATAGAGCACAGAACCAGAAGCAGGAATGTAGAGCTGTATGGACACTTGATCCAAAGACTGACAAAATAGATACATGTGGCAGATTTCTGGAACAAGTGGAAGAAGATAATGAAGAGACATAGAACAAAAAGCCAAATGAAGAACAGTGGCAATTGGCTAGAGGAAAGTCTGCATAAAAGATGAATATGGAAGGAAGAAATGAGAATGGAGTTAATATAGGTAATGCTTTTAAAGCTTTGGTTGACACAGCACAAAAGATAGTTCAAATTACAGAAAACCGAGATCAAGGTAGAGAACTGCCTAGAGATAGAGGTAGAGGTGTTATTCTGAATCCTAGATCAATAGAATGATGAACATCATATCATGGAATGTTAGAGGGATGAATAAAGGGTACAAGCAAAAAGAACTAAAAAAATTTATTAGAGAAAATAAGGTGGTGTTAATGGCTGTGTTAGAGAATAGGGTTAAAGAAGCAAAGGCTGAGTCTGTAATAAAGAAAGTGTTCAGCAATTGGAGATGGATAGCAAACTATACTACTGCTCCAGGTGGAAGAATACGGGTTGCATGGGACCAGACAAATGTGGATTTTGAGAGTTATGATATACACAAACAGTACATAATAGGGCTGGTTACAGCATTCCAGAATGGCAACAAGTTTAATTTTGGAGCTATTTATGGTATGCATACTATTCAAGATAGGAAAGTATTATGGGAAGATATGAAAAGAATCATAGCTGGTATCACTGGACCTTGTGTATTAATGGGGGATTATAACCCTATTTTAACTAGTGAAGATAGGATACAGGGGAATCCAGCACAGGAGTTTGAGGTGAAAGACTTTAAAGAATTCATTTGGGAGGTTGGGCTAACTGAATTGAGAACAGTGGGTAGGAAATATACTTGGACAAACAATCATGTCCATAGTAAGATAGATAGAATACTTGTTAATGCTGCATAGATTCAGAAATGGCCTGCAGTAGAGGGGAGTGTGTCGCAACCTGGGTTTTCTGATCATTGTCCTTTGAGCATAACAATTGAGGTTGATCATCAGAATGGAACTAGACTTTTTAAGTTTTTTAACTGTCTGACTCAACACAAAGAATTTGAGGATACTGTGAACAAATGTTGGACAAAAAGGGGTGAGGAACTGCAATGAACAAGGTGTGGAAGAAACTAAAGATGCTAAAGATCAAACTGAAGCAACTGAATAGTCAAGATTTCAATAGCACTGGACAAAGAATTCAAGCAACAAGAGCCAAGTTGGAAGGTATTCAGGATCAAATGTTTGGACCTGGGAATGACATTGACATAGTAGCTCAAGAAAAAGAGGCAAAAATGGAGTTGGCTAAATGGCTTGAGATTGAGGAGAGTATAATGAAGCAGAAATCAAGGATCAAATGGCTCAAGCTGGGAGATTCAAATACAGCATATTTTCATACATGTGTCAAGAATAGACAAGCAACAAATCATATTGGAAGACTGACTGATAGTGCAGGGCAAATACTCATGAACACTACTGAAGTGGAGACAGAAATATTGAAGTTTTACAAGCAGTTACTTGGAACATCAGCAACACAACTACCAGCAGTCAACACAAAAGTGATGCAGCAAGGGTATAAACTAAGCAAACAACAACAAATGCAGTTAATAAGACCTGTAATTGGAGATGAAATCAAGCAAACATTACAGGGTATTGATGACAACAAAGCACCAGGGTGTGATGGATATAATGCATTCTTTTTTAAGAAAGCATGGCATATAATAGGGGAAGAGGTTACTGAAGCAGTGATGGAGTTCTTTGATGAAACTGTAATGTATAAACCTATCAACTGTACAACCATTACTCTAATCCCTAAAGTAAAGAACCCTAGTAGTATTAAAGAATTCAGACCTATATCTTGTTGTACAGTGTTATATAAGATTATCTCAAAAATTCTAACAACAAGATTGCAGGAAGTTATGCTAGATTTGATTGACAATTGTCAAACAACATTTGTGCCAGGAAGGTTGATCACAGATAATATCATAATGAGTCATGAACTGGTCAAAGGCTATGGGAGGAAGAATATATCACCAAGGTGTATGTTGAAGATTGATATGCAGAAAGCTTATGATTTTGTAGAATGGGTATGTAAAATGGGTAATGATCTGCATTAGTACAGTTTCTTATTCAATCATTGTCAATGGGAAACCAATCAAGCCATTTGAAGAAAAGAGAGGATTAAGACAGGGGGATCCCCTCTAACCATTGTTGTTTGTGATGGCTACGGAGTACCTATGTAGACTAATGAAGCAGCTAGGAAACAACAAAGAATTCAGATTCCATCCAAGGTGTGCTAAAGTCAGTTTAATACAATTGGGATTTGCTGATGACCTTCTGCTATTCTGTAAGGGAGATGTGCAATCTGTCAAGGCCCTGCATAAATAGTTTCAAATATTTTCTGTAGCTTCTGGAATAGTTGCAAATACAAGTAAAAGCATTGTGTACTTTGGAGGTGTAGATAACAGGATACAGCAACAGATAATGGAATTATTAGGATACACCAAAGGTGATCTACCTTTTAGATACCTTGGTGTTCCTTTGAGCACAAAAAGTCTGACAACAATTCAGTGTGAACCTTTGATAGATAAAATGCTTAGCAGAATCCAATGCTGGACAGCCAAGTTCTTATCTTATGCAGGAAGAGCAACTTTGATCAGAAGTGTGCTGGGAACAATTCAGAACTTTTGGGCACAAGTCTTTATTCTACCAAAGAAAATCATACAATTTATTGAGGCAATATGCAGAAGGTTTCTATGGTCGGGCAGTGTTGAACCAACAAAGAAGGCTTTGATTGCTTGGGACAAATTATGTGCTCCTAAGGTAGCAGGGGGATTAAATTTCACAAATATAGAGCTGTGGAATAAAGCTGCTATTTGCAAACTTCTCTGGAACATCTGCAAAAAGAAAGAGAAGTTGTGGGTTCAGTGGGTTCATGCATACTATATAAAAGATAACAATATATGGAATACTAAACCAAAGAATGCTTCATGGGTTATTCAGAAGATATTCAAGGCCAGAAGACAATTTCAAGAGGCTAGATATTCAGAAGATGATGTGAGTTACATGGAGAGATTCTCCACTAGAAAGATGTACAAAGCATTACAAGGGGGATTCCAAAAGGTGACATGGAGAAGAATAGTATGCAACAACAAGGGATTACCAAAGTGGATCTTTATCCTAAGGCTGGCTATACAAGACAGGTTAGCCACTAAAGAGAGACTAGCAAGATGGGGATTAGTAGATGAAACAATATGTACAATGTGTCACAGGGAGAATGAAACATTGCAGCATTTGTTTTTCCACTGTGAATTCTCAAATGAGGTACTGCAGAAGCTACTATCCTGGCAAGGGATTATGAGAAGAAAGAAAGAATGGCAGGAAGAAATTCAGTGGACGGAGAAGAAGGCAGCAGGGAAGAGTGCAGGAGCTGAAGTGTACATAATGGAATTAGCTGCAGCAGTCTACCATATATGGCAAGCCAGAAACAATGTTATTTTCCAGAAGAAGCAAGTCAATGCACAGAATATAGTGAAAATGATCATACAGGAGATACATATTAGAGCTCAAGATAGTACAAAACTGGATACCTATTTGAGAAATATGAATTGGTATCCAGAATGAGCTAAATTAGAGATGTAATAGGAGATTAAGTCGTAGAGAAGAAACCTCATGCTGGGGCTTCATGTCCAGCAGGAGGCTGTTAGTAGTTGTTTTTGTAAGTTGTACATATTTACTTGGTAAATAAAGTCTTTTAATTACCAAAAAAAAATTACTTGATATTATATACCACTATGTTTTCTAAAATAACTCTATTTCATCAAATAAGTGCATATTTTTCGAAAACTTTATTTCTATGGCAGCCAGGTGTTACCCAGGGTAACTCGAACAAGATCTCCAGAGCAAAGCAAAGCAAAATAAGCAGACAAAGGCACGAACCAACCTCCCCCATAAAACTCACGATTTTTCTTTGAATGCAGGAACAAGGAATAACCACAAGTACATGCGCCTTAAAATCATTACCTTCATAACAACCAAACTGCCAAGCGTAAATATGTCTCCATATAAGAAATATTCTGCTCCTATTTGCTATTTACCCATTGCATGAGACTAAGCACTGTCTCCTCCTTTTGCATGAGGCTAAGACCTGCCTCCCTATTTGCATAAGGCTAAGCATTGCCTTCTCTTTGCATGAGACTAAACCGTGTCTCAAATCTTGCATGAGGCTAAGCCCTGCCTCTATGTTCGCATAAGGCTAAGCGTTGCCTTCTCTTTGCATGAGGCTAAGCCCTGCCTCCCTATTTGCATAAGGCTAAGCATTGCCTTCCATTGCATGAGACTAAGCCCTGTCTCAAATCTTGCATGAGGCTAAGCCCTGCCTCCTCAATTGAATAAGGCTAAGCATTGCCTTCTCTTTGCATGAGACTAACACCTGTCTCAAACCTTGCATGAGGCTAAGCTCTGCCTTTTCTTTGCATGAGACTAAGCCCTGTCTCAAATCTTGCATAAGGCTAAGCCTTGCCTCTGTATTTGCATGAGGCTAAGCTGCCTCTCTATTTGCATGAGGCTAAGCATTGCCTTCTCTTTGCATGAGACTAAGCCCTGTCTCAAATCTTGCATGAGGCTAAGCCCTGCCTCTCTATTTGCACAAGGCTAAGCATTACCTTCTCTTTGCACGAGATTAAGCCCTGTCTCAAATTTTGTATGAGGCTAAGCCATGCCTCCCTATTTGCATAAGGCTAAGCATTGCTTTCTCTTCGCATGAGACATAGCCCTGTCTCAAACCTTTGCATGGGACTAAGCCGTCTCAAAACTTGCATGAGGCTAAGCCCTACCTCCTCAATTGCATAAGGCTAAGCTCTGCCTTCCCATTGCATGAGACTAAGAATTGTCTCATCTATTTGCATGAGGCTAAGCCCTGCCTCCCGAATTACATAAGGCTAAGCTCTGCCTTGTTTTGCTCATATGCATCACCATGTCTCTGTTCGAAGGTGTCATAGTCCGAAGGCATCATCCTCATAGCCTGAAGACACCATGTCATGGCCTGAGGATCTCTCAATATCGCACATCATTATTCAAAGGCATCATGGTTTGGAGGCACCATTCTCATCACCCGAGAACATCATTTCATGGCCTGCGAATCCCTTATATCATGATTCATGGCCCGGGACGTCATGGTCTAAGGACGTCATCCTCACTGTCCAAAGACAACCTTCATGGTCCAAAGGGAATTTGCATCATGTTTAAATTCTCGCAATAATCTATATACTTGCATGCATCGTGTTTTAAGTTTTGCAGGTAATCCAGGAATTAACCGTTCTGCAAACGGGAGCAACCTTCGCTCCGGTTTCCGCTCATACCATTTACACCCTGCCATTATTTCAAACGTGACTGACTCCCATCAATTACTCGCCTTTACTCTATAACTGTTCAGATGTCTGCCCTGTGATATGTTACGTCCCATGTTTTCGTACATGAGAATACGTCGTAAGCCAATTGATATAAGCTCGGAAATGAGATCCTTTTTTTAAAGTACATAGCGTATGTTCATCTTTTTATCTTGGAGGTTATAAATCTTTAAGATCATGAATAAAAGTACCAAAAGGGTTGGAAAGCTTAGACGCTAAACGAACTGAAGAAAATAAGTTTCATCGAAAGTCGACAAGTTTAGAATGTTATAACATATACTTTTGGGGTGAGACTGGGGTGATTAACATGATGAGGAGGTTTAGTTATGAGTTATTTTAGTCGTATGATATTCATGTGTTATGTTTGTAAGTCAAGCGAGTTGTGGAACAAAAAGTTGGCAAAGGTCATCACAAGTTGCATTCATAATGTGCTGAAATTTAGGTCAAATGTATCTGCACTTCTCCCAATATACTTGAAATCAAGGGATGATCTACATACCAAATTAAAGATCTATGAGTCTAGTTTCCAATGCATTTAACTGTTCATCGATACGGTATCGGAGTAGAAAGATATTTGCATTTTTGCGAGCCTGCGCAGATTGGTAGGTGACAAGTAGGTGCATCACCTACTTGCCAAAAGGAGTGGACAAAATTAAAAGCCCCAAAGTCGGCAAAATGTGGACATTTAATGGCTTATAAACTCACTTAATTCACTCATCTTTGAAACCATGAGAATCCGATTTAACCCCTGCAACTCCTCCCCACAAAAAGATTTCACATAAACCCTAGGATGTTACGATGCGATTCTAGCGCCGAAAAGCCCGGACAGCTTGCTAGTTTCTCTTTCTCCTTCATGTAGCTGAGTTGGGATACTGATTTTTGATGGAGAAGGACTAGGTTTCGTGGTTCTACTCAGTCCAAAGTAAGTTTATGCTTCTCCTTCCATTATCTATGCTTGTACGAGTTGTAACTCGACCGTAAAGACTAGACCTAGCGAGTTTCGAAAGAGTAGTATGTTGTTTGTTGTTGCATCACTGTTGGCTGGTTGTAAACCTACTTTTAAGTTGAATTCTTGGCTGGTTTACTGGATAAGAGTCCTAACTATTTGTTTTGGTGCTCAATTTGAAAGAAAAGACAAGTCGAAACATGTTTAAATAAACTGAAAAATGAATTTTGAGTTGCTGAACTTGTGGGGCTGTTTTGTGGGTTGTTTCGTATTGCTTTTGAGTTGTCTCTTTTGCTACTATTTTTATGGAGTTGAGAAGAGAAAGGGTGTGGAGAAACATCACATAATGGCAGGGTGGTTTGTTGGTCGTTCGTCGTAACATCTTCGGATTGTTTGACACTATTATGGTTGTCGTTTTGTGTATGAAGTGATAGGGGTATGTTGGGTTGTTTGGTGATTGTTTTGACTTGTGTGAAGTCATATATATAGGGGAGGTTCTGTCCGTTTCATCGTAAAATAGGTTGTGGTCGGTACATAATAGTTAAGACACTTAAACATTAACGATAGTGTCATTTCACCTATTGTAGACTAAGGAGTCGTGACATTTGCATAGCTTGAGGATTGGCAGTATATACAAGGTATGTGAGTCTATCCTTTTCCTTCTTTTGCATGACCTCAATTGTACATAATGCAATGAACGAGATTCCAAAGGTACTCTACTCTTAGAAGCTAGCGGTACTTACATTGTTTCCCTTCTTATGGCACAATGGATGTTGAGGTTGCTTCTCTTATTCTTATGTTATCGGTGTTGTTGGTACTTCCTGATTCTTATAAGACTCTTGATGAAGAGTTATTCCTAATAATGTGTACGGAGAGTATCGACCTTACGTCACTCCGAAAGGTTCAGAATATGATTCCAATGAGTCCTACATGCATTATATATATGTATCTATTTTACTCTACCGAGCCGCGCTATAGTCGGTCGGGTATGGCACCTATCTTATGATGGCCGGGTACGTTTTTACCGAGTCCTCTTTGAGGCCGGGTACGATATGATGATAATGATGCCCATAGAGGCGTATGTTTTTAAAAGTTTATGTATATATATGTATTGTTCATTTCATGTCAGTAGCCCCAGAGGCACCCAGATGTTACAGGTTGTATCTCCTCTATCTCTCTTTACATTACTTTTCTTGTTTATGTTTTCCTGCCTTACATACTCAGTACATTATACGTACTGACGTCCCTTTTGCCTGGGAACGCTGCGTTTCATGCCCGCATGTCCTGATAGATAGGTCGAGAGTTCTCCTAGTAGGCTATCAGCTCAGTGGAAGGTGTTGGTGCACTCCACTTGCTCCGGAGTTGCCTAATTGGTCAATATGCTTTGGATATGTATTGATTGGTATGGCGGGGCCCTGTCCCGACCTTTATGATTTTATGTACTCTTAGAGGCTTGTAGACAGATGTCAGGTGCATGGATACTTGTATGGCCTTGTCGGCCTATGCTTTGAGTTTACAAATTGTTGACCCAAGTTCAGATGAAGTTTTGAAGATTGACAAAATGAACTCAGTCATGAACCAGGTCCATCATGTGAGACAGACACAGTGTTGATATACTTATACATGTGACATACGTGTGAAGATAAGTCTCAAGGGCCAGCAACAATATCTTCTGAGTTGATCGAAAAGGTTACATAGGATAAGGAATTGAAGTCTCCTTATGTGAAGAGAACTACATCCGGATCAAGAATAAGGATTGGAGTTTGAATTGTTCTAGGACTCTAATTTGATGAAGGATGAGCAATTCGAGTTTTAATCAAACTCTGATTACTAACTCTATAAATAATAATGATTGTTCTCTTTTATAGGGGTTGCACAAAAACGCAGAAGTTAAGCATGAATTGGGAGCAAAATAGCAAGGCTTTTTGCAAGCAGTTCGTGTGTGATTCAAGTGTGCAAACCAGAAGCTACATGAACTAGATTGAAGAACCAGCACCATAAAGAGTTTTATGTGTCTTTCTTTATTTCTAGTTCAATTGTAGTAGGTGTTTTCATATTGTACCTTTCAGCTTTCATAGAAGCAATTGTATTAGGTACTTTTGAGTATTCAAGTTAGAGTTAACTTGAAAGTGTCGCAGCAGTTGAGGTTGTGTGCCACACTGGGATTAGAGTTTAATCCTTAGGTTTACAAGAGTTTTGTAAATGCTGTTTTGGCTCAGTGATTTTAGTGGAAGTTTGGGAAAATCCTACTGAGTAGTAGGTCGTGATTT